CGCCCCCGCCTGCTGGGTTCGGCGGCCGTCGGGGGCGCGGGGTGCCGGAGCCTCTCCGCGGACGCCCGCGTCCCTCCTCCCCGGCGCGCGGGGAGCTGGTTTTCCGGGTTCTCCTGGACGGAGCTGGATCTGGCTTCTCGTCGAGGCAGGAAGTGAGTTTCGCACGGTAATTCCGGGCGGTGTCACGAGTGAAAAGTTTTTTTTCGGCGGAGATCCTGGTTGGGGCTGGGAAACTCCTGCAAAACTCGAGACAGGAATCCAGCCCGCTTCCCAGCCCCCTCTAAAGCCACCTACTCGTCTGCGCGGGAGGCCGCTCCACATCCGCTCTCACCGGAGGGAGAAATTCGCCTGGCTCTACGGTGACTAATGAAGGGAAGGAAATCATGTCAGGCGAAGCGTTGAGCAGGCTGCCCTGAGACGCTGCCCGGCCGAAAGAAAGGTAATTGTCGCGAGGTGTCTAGAAGTCACACAGATCCTGCTCCAGCAAAGAGGATACTTTGTTTTTCATTTTCCCCCAAGTTGCCCCGTTTCTAATGGCGAACTGAAGAGTGTTGTAGGTGCTAGATCGTAGAACTGATTTTCCCTACTTCCACCATCTGGACTCTGGTTTGTTTTAGAAGAGGTGGTAGGAATGCAGTGGGACGAAAAGTTTTAAAAATCCGAAGAAAGAGCGTCTTTGTTCAGCAGAGGGTCCAGTAATGTTGGTTTCCTGGAAAATACGCAGCGTGTATCTTTATTTATTAAGTTGCTGAACCTGGCAACTTTTGTTTTGGAAGAAAGTTTGGTCGTTGCAACGAGTGACTTGCTGTTGAGATGGCTTCCACGTTTGTTAGCAATTATATTTGGCTTTTGCGTTAATCGTATATGGGTTTTTCTTATATAAATGTATTTCGTTAGGTTTCATAAGCCAGAAATACCCTCTCCATTCTTAGTTGTTTTCGTAGATGGGTAGTATTTGCTTCAGTCACTTGATTCCTTTGGAACTTTTAGAATCTTGTAACACTTGTTTGGTTAATTAATTGAAAGCAAGTATCTTCGAGATTTTTCTTCTATTTGACATGGTAGGAAGACAAAGAGAAGCGAATATATGGGTAAAAAGAGCTATAGTTGAAAAACAAAAAGACACCTGTAAGTAGTTTGACTTGGTAGAACTTCTCTGAAGTTCACAACAGAATAGGTAGGAAAGGAAGAAAAACAGTTGAAACGAATTTTTTTTTTTTAACCTCATTGATCGTGATAAACAGACACTGTTTACATTCTTGCTTTTTGGCAGATGTTTGGCCGTTCTGCCTAATAGGTAGGTACCTACTCTGGGGCTAGGATTGGTGAGGTATTGAGGGCATTCCACCAGTCACAGTTTTAAGTACTACTGAACCAATGGGTGGTCTTTATAGGTTAAACTATTTTTGTTGGCCACAAACATCAGTGACCTCATTCAAGTGGTGCTTTCGTGTATCTTTTTGTTGTTTTTTCCCGAGTACAACTTTTATAAGGGGAGGTGAAAGTACCCTGCTTCTGAATTAATACTAAATAAATAGACATCTGATTCTGTCTAAAATGCAAATTGGGTTGTTTGCTCATTCTGCTCCAAGAAAAATAGTTGAATTTCTTTTGTTTGAAAAGAGAAAAACCTAGCTTTCACAACTTAGTGTTACCTTGTTAAGTACTCCTCAAAATAGAAATCTTTGATTACTGTATATTGTACTGCTTGTTGTGACTCCTCCCACTTCCCCACATTTAATTATTGGTAAAATTTGTGAACCTGTAAAGTCCATCCCTCTTAAGTCAAGACGCTTTATCAAAGAATTTAAAGTGCACTATTGATCTACTTGATTTCGGAAGATAACATTAGGTAGCAAAAGAGGTTATTCTTGGGCATCTGAAAGAGTGGAACAAAATAAATGGCATTGAACTTAAGTTTCCTTATATGGCTTATACTTGGCTTCAGAGCAACAAAGCCTTAATAGAGCAAGTCTTTTATAGGGAGTTACACTTTGTGAAAATGTTTCTCTGTGTCGGTAAATTTTACATATAAAAAGTATTTAGGCACTTGAAAATTTTCGAATTCCTGTTTTCACAAATAGTTCTTAGATTTTTTTTTTGCTTGAGTATAGTATGTTTAGATGTAAACAATGCATTTTTTAAAATGAGATGCTTATCCTTATAGTTCTTTGTTTTTCAACAAAGAAGAGATTTTTTTAGTTTTTTTCTCAACAAAGTTAAATTTCTTTGCTCAGAATTGTTATTTTAGCACTGAATTAAGGCAGTAAATTTTTAAGGTTTGTTGTTAAACTACAAATACTTGGACATCCTTGTTTTAAATATAACAATAGTTTGAAAAGCAGTTAAAAGATAATCAGTTAAATATTAAGTGGCTTCATTGAATATCTTTTGGATATTCTTAGTATGGTGTGGGTTTTCTTAGATTAAAATTGTAAGTATTACAATTCCAGAGTGTTTATTACTATTTTGTACAAAATACACATTTAATGGCACTATTTTATTGAAGGTACTTAGAAATTTTCAAGTAGTGATATAAACTTAGTCTTTTGACTCATTAATCAAAGATAAGTTATAAAATCTGCCTCCTATTTGAGATCAAGCTGTTGCAAACTTAACATGTTTGAGGGGCCAAAATCAAATATTTATTACACATTGTTTCCTAATGAGATTGTATATAGAGACACTTTACCTGTATCACTGGTACATCTCTAAAATTTACTTATTTTAGAGATACTGGTATTGATATTCAGAAATCCCTAGTAGATTTTATCGACACCGGTGTTCCTTAATTTAAGACACACATTAAAATTTCAGAAAATTAGATATAGAAGCATTTATTTTATATAATTGGTTATGAGAAGATTTAAAGTTGCTTTTGGTTTAGGCATAGATTATGGCAGTATTTACAAAGTATTCTGACTTAAGAGAACTTAAGTGATGCTGAGTAGCAAAATAATTCCATTATTCATTTTTGGTAATTCTCCTTAATGTAGATTTTTCTTTAAACACATTTGCTGCACAAGTTTTCATTTGACTCTGTTGCCCATCTATTTTTGTCTCTGTTCCATGCTTTTTCGTTTGGAAACACGTAAGGTATAAGCTAAAGGTCTCTTTTTCTTTTCCTTTCCTGACAACATACATTGTATCTTGTTTTTAATTGTTCACATAAATCTTTTAGTTTTTGAATGCACACTGTTTGTCCTATTAATAATAAATGCAGTACATCTACCTTTCATTTTTCTTTGATTTATTCCAGGGTCTGTCATCACTAACTCTTGAACCAAACTATACCCATTTTTCAGAACCTTTTAGTTTTCTGTTTCCTAATTATGCAAAAGAAGGCTAGCTATTATTTTCTCTTATAATTCCTTTAGCTTCCTATTTTTATTCTTAGTTTCATTTACTTCCCCTATTTTCTCTATGTTCAACTGTTTCTTAATTATATTTTGCCCTCTCCCTCTTTCATCAGACCATGTTTATTACATACATAAGCTGTTCAGAACAGGATAGAAACCTACTTGATCAGTCTCATGTAAGGTTGATTCTCCCTTTTGCATTCCAGCTCAGTTTACTTGCCAGTATATTACCTGGGTATTCATTCTTTACTAATACATTTTGTTTCTGTTTATTTCGCTCATTTTTTTTGAATATGTTAAGATCAAGTTAAATATTTTTATATTAAGATTCCCTACAACCCCCTTAAGTCTTTCTGTTTTACTATGCTTTTAGTATCTTAAAACACACACCTTTCTGGCTCTGAACCATCCTTTCTGTCCTGTTTCTCAAGTTAGATGTGTTCTTTATCAGTGTCCCTAATATTTTGAAATTGCCTTAGTTTGATTTATGAAATGAACACAATGGAAATCTCATTCACTTTATTCATATCACTTCAGATTTTGTACTAGGTTATCATTAGATGGAGACCTTCTCTGGAGGTTATCTATGACTTTAGATATATAGAATATAGTACAGAAACTGGAAAATATGAAGGCATTTAAGTAAATAGGTAAAGGGGGACTTCATTAACAGGAACATTCTTATTAGAATCAGTCAAAATTTACTTTGTATCTAGCTATTTCCTGGCTTTATGATGTAGAGGGAATGAGAAAAGACTTAAGATACTGATAGCATCATGAAGTTATAGTTTATGATGTTATAGTCAAGGAGTGAAAATGTAAGACTGAATAACTTAGGAAATACAGTACTCTTTGAAAACTTGGTTTGGGGTAGCATGCCTTATACATTTATTTTGACCATAGGTAGAGACACACTGTATAGTATAATGTAATTATAAGTAATGGTAATAACCCTAAGGCAACTGTTGTCAGACTTTCTGGTCGTGTCATCCCTCTATATGCTTGCAAATTACTGAGGACCCCACAAGAGCTTTGTTTTATTTGAGCTATACTGCTTGTATTAGAAATTATTTTTTAAAAGATGGCATTGCATGTTAATGTAACATTTTAATATTTATCAAAATAAATCTTTAATAATCAAGTAATGGCATTGTTAAACATTTTTGCAAGCTTTTTATGTCTGATTGAAGAGAAAACAACTTGGTTCTCATACCTGCTTTTACATTTAATCTTGGAATATGTTGCATTGGTTGAAGTGTTTGAAGAACCAGTATTATACAGATCCATGGTTGGAAAAGGGGAGCAGGTATTTTCCAAGCTTTTTGAGGTGATTGTGGATGTTCTTTGCCACCACACCAAATAAGATATATTTTTTAAAAGAATTATTTATGAATATAGAACTAGGGCACAGTTCAGAGGTGCCAGGGGTATTGAGAGGATTCACCAGAGACTGTAGGGAGCAGAACAGGCAGATTGATGAAGTACACTGTGGAGGGGAGCAGTGGGTGAGACAGGAGAGGTCTGCTACATATGGGTCAGCTCCTTGGCCAGGGATCGAACTTGTGCTCAGGCTGCTGTGGGTAGCTTCTCAGTGTTGCGCCAGAACCCTCTCCACCACCAGGGAGGAGCCCATAAGTGATAATTTTTTAAAAAGATTTATTTACATATGCATACAAGAACTGGGGTATAAGCCAGAGGTGTGAGGGGGAGAGAGGATTCACCAGAGAAAGAATGGGGAGCAAATTTACTGAAATACACTGCTGAGGGGTGCATGCAGCAGGTGAGATGGTAGAGATCTGCCAGGCCACATGGGCTAGTTCCCTGGTGGAGGTAGAACTCTTGCTGTAGTGACTGGTGATAGCTTGGTAGAGCTGTCTTTAACTCCGTCACCACCAGGGAGGCCCTAAATGATCATTTATTTTTATTTATTTCTAAAGATTTATTTATTCATACAGAATTGGGGTACAAATCAGAAGTGCAGGGGCAGTGAGAGACTTCACCAGAGACAGTGGGGAATAGAACAGGCGGACCAATGAAGTACACTGCTGAGGGGCACAGCGGGTGGCTCAGGAGAGGTCTT